GCGCACCAGGTCCTGGTCTGGGAGCGTCAGTGCGCAATGCACACCCAGCAGTGGGCATTCGGCCAAATAATTGACTGAATCGGTCTATCGAAAGCCTTCTCTTCGGACTCTTTCTGAAACAAACAAACATATAGATTTATTTTTATATGTATATATCATATATATGTACACGCAAAGGTAACTATATAAAAGCATTTATCAGGAGCTCTTCTTCCAGCTGTCGGAACAAACAGCATGAGATTCCACATCATCTCTACAGCTGGTTCAAACACAAACATCCTCCACTCTCTCTCTCTCTCCCTGTCTCGGGCTGTTTTGCGTGTCTTCCTCGTCTGTTCCTCTACGTGTCCCTCTCCTGAGAGGAGCAGCTTCGCGGCGCCCGGGTCGGTGTCCGGACACGGATTGCCGTTCCAGTGCGCTGCTTCCGGGTACCTGAGACCCAGCGACGGCGCCGACGCGGAAACGGGGCGGAGGCCCCTAGCCTGCCGGGCGGATGGGTTGCCGGACAGCATAAACAACGACCTCAAGCAAGTTAAGAAATGGGTCCCTTGTTCAAGTGAATCTGGTCGGAAGAATTAGTGCAATCTTTTGGTATATCAATGTATATCGTATGCAGCTCAAATATGTTGTGCTCTGTATGAAGCCTTGGGCCTTGGTAAAATCATCCTCAATCCATTTGTTTGTTTTGTGTCCATTGGTAGTTGTGAATTCTGCAAGGTGCTCATGTCAGTCTTTGCCATACAAACCCAGCCCCTTCCCCATCTAAAGCTTTTGGTTATGGAACATGTCAACCATCATGCACCTCCTGGAGAGAAACACGAAGCCAGCTGACCTGTTCCCCTATGTGCCCTGTTGTCACCCAGGCACAAGCGCTGGAACATCCAACGGAACTCCTTCAAGCCAAGAGCGTAGAAGGCTTGCTCCTGAGGGCTGCAATGTTGAAATACGATGTCTTTCAGGCAGCATATTGAGTTATTAAGAGGCCCTTTGCTTTCAATGATGTTCCAAACAGTTCCCCAAAGAAGACATTTGTTTTTGGTTTGGAGGGGTGATTGCACGATGATTGAGTCACCCTGTGAAACGGCTGCTAGATAGGATGGCAAGCTTTACTGGACGTGCGTGATTCCTTGCCAAGGACCTGCATCTGGTCCACCTAAAGTTTAAAGGGTATACTGAATCATCGTAGATCATGAACCTGGGGATGGTCGCACCCACACAGGTTGTACTATGACACCTTATGACCTGTACACGGCAAGGTCGTAACTGTCGTAACCCTTCAAACTCTTCACAAGGTGCTGGGTTTGTCCACCTCCAGGTGTTGGCTAAAGAAGGGTACATCTCAAACTGAATCACCTGATCCCTTCCAACAAAGTATCAACCTTCCAGCCTCACAAAATCAAATCGGCAAAAAAAAAGAAAATAGAAAAGAGAGAGAGAGAGAGAGAGAGAAAAAGAGAGAGAGAGAGAGAGGGGGGGTCATTGGTAATGATAGTAAATAATATGTAAACATAGTATCTTTCCAAGGAGCTGGTGCCACAAGCATCCCAATGAGTCCAACCACTGCATATAATGCCTCACTCGGTCACTCGGTCACTGGCCCGGGCCTCTCGTTTCGTCCAGCTTCGGCGATCGGTTGGTCAGTTGGGACCATCGCAGTGGGCCGATCAGTTGGGGTTGGCAGGTCATGGCATGCCATACGGTCTGGGATATGAAGGCATACATGGATGGCATACATGGATGGTCATGGCATACATGGAGTCGGTTCCTTTTTGGGGGGACCCTGACTCACGTTTTCATGGAAGTGGACTAGGCATGGTCTCTTGGAAGATTATCTAATGCATTCTACGCACCTTTACAGGCACCAAAAGGGGGTGAACTCCATTTCCGTGGTGAGTTGGAGTGTAGTTGTTCAGATTGCCAGCTTCGGCAGGTGAACTCCAGAAGGACCTGAACGCTGACCCAGGTGTCTCACGGACTCAGCCATGGTCCGGGCAGTATCTATCGTTTTGCATATTGTATGCACATGTTGTCCATATGTCCAAATCAGGTACCATCAAGACCCCACGAATTCTTTAGTTCTGCTCCAGATCCGACACTTCAAGTGCCACCATGTTCCCGTGCGCGGGGAGAAGAACAACACACACACATTGCACATGGTGCACAGCATGTCCAAAGATAACATGGACATGGACAACCCGATGCTTCTTGAGGAGGAAATAAGACCCCATGTCCATGTTGGTGGAGTTCGAGAAATGGTTGATGAAGGCTAAACGGAGGGTGTGTGGAGAAAGGGGGTCAGCAAAAATCGCTTATACGAAGTTAGTGCATCAAAAATACCTTCCACGAAGTTCTGCGAAGGTTTCTGGGATTTCGTTGCAGTCAGTTGTCCTACTGGCCCACCATTCCACGAACTGTCCACGAACAGCCTTGGGTTCTACGAAGGTCACGCGCCTTCCACGACGTTAGTGGAATAGGTTTTTGCAAAACCCTTTCTGTGCACTACCCTTCCGTTTGCCTTTGAGTTGAGTTCGGTACGGCATGCGCCCATCGCCACCATTTTCCAACCCAAACACTCCAAACAGCCCTTTCTCCCTCAAAACCCCTCCAAAGGATTCGGGTCCAACCGGGTCCTGGGAAGCTCCACCCATACCTCGCCTTCCGCTCCACCAGACCCTTCCTCGTCCCAGCTCCGTCTTCCTCGGTCGCGTCGCCATGAGCCGTAGCAGCCAACTGCTGAGATCCACCGAGTGGATCCAACAGCTTTGCACCACCACCGGCGATCCGACGATCACCTGAGGCGATCGGGGGCCAGAACGCCAGGGGCGGCGCACGAAAACACGCGCCTTTATGAAGCGCATGTGAAAGGGGGGGTGAGGCGGGTGAAGAGCGTTTTGGGCAAAAAATGGAAGGTGCTCTTTTGACATGTCTGACCAAGTCGTTTCGAACAACACGTCGAATGGACATTTTAAGCAACGTTGTTTATTTAATCTGATGCGTGTTGGTGGTTGCCGTTGAGCCAATGAGATGGGTGGGGGGTTAAATACAGTTAAAAGCTCTTCCTGCAATCCACACTAGATCCAAAAGCTCCCATGTCTGAAATCAAGATCGTTCATGGCGTATTTCGATCCAAACAACATATGACACATATGACACATATTCTCACATCTTCGGAGTCAAAAGGAGTAGAAACAGGCTGATCAGGACTCCCTTAGACCATGCCTTGATAAAACGATCCTACCGTCCTACCTTTCGGCAGCCCGGCAGAACATGAAGGTGATCTTTTGCAGGGGCTCAGTTACATTCTATGTATGAGGACAGTCAGGCTGATTCTGCAAAAGCCCACAGGATGACTCGACTGTACAACGGTACTGTTGGTTCCAAGTGAGCACCCCCTGTAGCAAACAGCCACATCCATTGCTACAGTGCTGCGAGAGGCAGTGCATAACGATGAGTCAAGTGAGTAACACCGGCGCGGAGTGTGGATTGCGTGGGGAAATGGCAACAATGAAGTTTCCTGTGAAGTGATCCTTGAATTTCTATAACAGTTTTAAGCCATTCTAGGGTCCATGGTTCCCTGAAAAAGGTTTGTGATACACTTGGGACCTCTCTTTCCAAGCATCAGTCTCGCATGTGCTTTCGGTTGTCAACTTTTTCTTCCAAAGAATGAATTGTGCTCGAGGCCCGGCTCCATGCTGCACAACTATATACAGAGCGCTCTCGAGCACGTTGAATCAATGGCAAAAGCAAAAGACTGCGCCGATTCGGCCCAGAACGACTAGGCTGCTAGGGCGTGGATGGATTTGCTTTGCATGTCTTTCGGAGTATTGCTGATGATGGAGACTGAACAGTCAGCAAGAGGACCAATGGATATAAAACAACACGTGCAATTGAAGTTAGGAGGCTGCTTTGCTTTAGGAAGTAGCTAGTTGTGACAATCAGAGTGGGGGCAGACCCTTCAGGTCTCACCATCCGCCGTTTGCATCTCCTAAGATGGATCTCACCGCCGCTGCTCCAAGGGAGGCGGATGCGTTTCTGCTTGCGACTCGGGCCAATGATTTAAATTATTTAAACTTCTGCGACTTGATCTGTGCCTCCCATTTGCTCGGAAAAAAAATTTATGTGCAAACATCTTGGGGAGGGTTCGGAAAAAAGCACACAAAAAACACCCAATTCATCATGTATCACTTAAATTATGACTAATATATATATATATAACTTATAACTGTAGAATTCAAAAACCAATGACTTCCATCAGCAGGACCCCGTGTCAACGGAGTTCACTGCTGTCCCTTTGCGCACCATGGCGCCGTCACATCCTGAGCAAGTCGCGATCAGCTGGCCGAAGACTACGCATTCGCACTCTCCGCAAGGAGGTTCTCTCGCAATGCTCCCAGGCATTGCAACGGAAGTACTGAGATGGGTCCAGCACCATACACCACACCATCCCATCAACTGCAACCCTCCTTCGGGAGTGGTTGGATATTGAAAAATCATCTGATCTGGATGTACCTGGACCCGATTCTGACTCAAAATGCCAGCCGTGTGATTGGCCCCTGGGTCGCCACCGAACATCTGTCATGGCATTGCACGTCATTCACCCCGCATGGGGCCAATCGACTGGCAAGGCAATTGGCAGCACTGAGGCTGCCATCGTTCGCGATCCCGAAGAAGTGCCAGGACAAAGGCCCACTTCAAATGCACATTTTATACATGGTCAAGAAATATGATCAATATGATGATTTTCTCCTGGGTTTGTTACTAAATGTTACTAACAATATCTAGCAATATTGTTTGACTGGACAACGTTGGGCGTCCTGCATTTCCAGGGTGGGTTCCACTCCCCCAAACTCATACTGACCCCCGGAGAAAGATGGATTTCCCAAAGTTTCCGGGGGGGAGCCTTCTCTTGGTTTGACAGAGTGTTGAATTATGAGGATTGGCCGGTTGTTTGGCTCGTTTTTTTTCCTTCATCATCAGCGCTACTGAGATCGGTCCAAATCTCACAAAGCAACCAAACTGACCGTTCCTCATTTGGACATCATTCCCGAAGAACCACATGTGGCTGTGGGTCCGCGGTTACTAAAGTGAAAAGAAGCGTCTACACTCCGACTCCCTAACATCGCGAAGGGACAATTTTCCTCTATCAACAGGTGGTTCTCCCCTCCCATGGAAACGGAGTCGGAGGGCACCAGAATCTACCACACCCAAATGCCTTCGCCCTGACCTGGACTATAGGCCGTTGGTTCTCCGAACGCGCCGCTGCGGCGCGCCGGGCGTTGCCACTGACTGTGGCTCTCCTTGGGCTGCGTGGACCCAAAGAAGCAGAATAGGAACATGATTATAGATTGAACAAAACATTAAAAAAAGAAGCACAAAACCAACACACACCAACACACAAAACACCAAAAAAACAACTCCCTCTACCGTCCCAAAATATAGCTCCTTAGAGGTGAAATAGTCTATGAATCTATGAACCACCTCAAAGCGGGGGCCCAAGGGTCGGATCGTATTTCGGATGCTCGTTCGGTCCCAGTGCCATGCACCAACAAAAACCTTGAAATCATGAGGTGGAGGTGGAGGGATTTCTTCCTTCAACTCACTTAGGTGCCTTCCTTCAACTGACTTAGGTGCCAACCAGGACTCTTTCATGAACAGATTCGGTGAAATTCCTGGCCGCAAGGCAACTCGACGTGGTCGGAGGCCTTGGGCTCCAGATCCTCATGGCAAATGTAACCTCGGACGACGGTGGCACGGTGTTGAGCTTGATCTCCCCGTGCCACGAGGCGATCACGTACCATGCAAGACATGGCGTCCAGCTCTGCTCTTCCTCAAACAGTACTGCTCACACGAGGAGTTCTTATTGGTCGTGGCTAAATTCAAGGTTTAATCGAGGGTGCTCACCTTATTTCACGTGCAAGCGCGCGCCAACTGCCGGGCGGGCGGGTGCTTTCCTCGCTTGCCCTCTCGTTCTTGCCGTGTGCATTGTCAGGCTTGGTGGTTGCTCTTCCTGGCCACCGCCAGGGGAAACTTCGTGAGTTGGTGGGCTGAAGTCGACTTGTGGCAGGCACAGGAGATCAAAGCCGTTTTACGCGGTTTTGTGCACTTTTTGTGTCAAACGCAGAACATGGGTGGTGGTCTTTGGTGTGCTGTGATTTGGAGGTAGGGGTAGTGTATGGCACGGAGAATTTGGGACATGTGGCTCGTTTTCAGATTTTGGGAGAAGTATCGCGCGAATGCTTTGGCATCTCGAACTTGTGTTTCGACGTGCTTTTGTTGCGAAGCGCACTGGCATGGCTGCACGGAGTGCATCTTGGTCAGTGTACAGGCAGGCACAACACTTTGTGAACGTCGAAGTGCAGTCGCTGAAGGCACAGCACTTTGTGAACCTTTGTGGTCCTTGAAGCGCAGATTTCTTGGCACCCGCAGCACTTCAGAACCTTGATGTGCAGATGTTTGACTTTTTACGTGACAACAACAGCACTTTGTGAAGCTAGATGTGCACATTGGCGCAGCGCTTGTGAACCTCGAAGTGCACATGTGTGCTCTCGCATGTATGCTCTTTTATGTATGCTCTTCTGTGTGTGCTCTCAGATGTTTGCTCTCTTGTTTCCTCACATGCGTGCTTTGATGTGTGCGCTCTCGCATATTCCCCCCTCCCGTGCTTCCTTCGTGTGAAGTTTTTTTCCACTTCTGTTTCTTGGAACGAGGAGTCATGCCCTTGGTAGCGATGCGGCGATGCCCTTGTTCCTAGCAGCCTCTTGTTCCTAGTAAGGCCAGGAGCTACGTTCGTAGCGTCCTTGCTCCGTTGGTAGCAAGAACACTTCTCTTGGTTGAACTACGGCCCCAGGTGGATGAAGAGCCAGGTACCCTCAATCCGATGGATCAAGGGGATCAAAGCGCCCCCCGTGGACTGGTAGTTCTGTATAGGTTGCTGGTAGCTCCAAGGAGTGGTGTCAAACCGTTTTCGTGATGCCAATGCTGCTTCGTTGCTGATGATTTTTGGCATCCATCTGGAAACGGAGAAGGACAAGAATTGTAGCCAATCAAACTCACAACTATATGTTAAGTACATCCACCGGCATGTAGACTACACTACACCACCTATACATCGTGTGGATGTATAAACAACCACGAACACCATCGCTACCTACAAAAGGGATGGCGACATACATTGACATACCCCAGGAGTCACAGCTAACGGGGTGCCCATCATCCACAGCCCCTGGATGGGACGAGCCACACCACCCCTGGTCACGCTGGGGAACGGCCTGTGCTGCCTTCGGACCTTCCGACACCAAGAGACAGGGCTCCACTGAGGCACAAGGCGATGTCACTTCCTGCTGAGGCGGGACGTTCCAGAAGAAGCATCGAAAAAAAAAGGATGGTAGAAGTTGGCTTCCGAACATAGACAATCATGGACATACTGCACAATTGTGTGCGTTGTTTGATGGCTTATGAGTCCCTAGGGCTTCGTCTAGCTGCTGAGAACGCACTCAGGTCACCCTGACACCCAAACACCTCGGCAAGCAGTCGGAGCCGTATTTGTGTCTCTTGAGCGAGTGGGTGTGGCGAACAAGTGTTGGGTTAGCGTTGATTCTGGCTCCAAGGGGCAAGCAATTGCAGTATAATATATTGAGCATATCCCGTTACCACTCCCGTTACCAGCAACAGTGGATGAGATATTCCTTTAACTACCAACTGTTAAGCAACTTTTGATTGCCATGAGGCTTCCACTAGTCCGGAGTTGCTGTATTGATGTTGTTGGAAGAGATCCTGCCCACATGAACCTGCAAATGCACCAGAGTCTTCCAACAGTTCAAGCCATGGACTCCCCCACTTTCTGGCCTTTCTGCCTGACCCTGACCCTGCTAGAGTGTAGATCGGATGGAGGGGAGGAGGATGCTTTTGGTCGCTCTCCCTCGCTCTCCCATCTGCATCGAGCAGCGAGCCCCTCTTCGACGGTGGGCAGGGCCGGCTTCCGACGCAGCTCCAAGGCCGCTTGGAAGACACAGACCTGGCGAAGTCCGAAGAATTGTCTTGGTGGATCATGGTGGATCCACAGGGAGAAGCACTGGAAAGCAATGGGAAAGCTCACTCCTTCAGCCTGAGCCTCGAAGAATTGCAATCGTCAAACGTTCTTGCGACCAAGTCGGAAAGGAAGTGACCATGGGACTAAATCGATGTGACAACCGGCTGCTTGTGACTCTTTAAACAATTTTGGAGGAATATATGTCACTACCAGCTGTCATGGATCACAAGGTACAGCTGTCACAACTATAGCGGTCGACCGGTGAAGGAAGTACGGCCTGCACAGTAAGAGCCAGGCACCAGGAAATCTCTAAGAATTCAACGAAATCTCGGACTCATATCCCCTAGGGCTCCTGGCCCACCTACAAGAAGATGGGCCAGGGGTGGGTGCCAGGGGGGTCCAACCACCGAGCCTGAGGATATGGTTGGAGCATGTTGGAGCCCTAGGGATCCATGACCCTTGGATCTACCAGTGTCTCAGTCCTCGATCTCTGAGGAAGCCCACCAGCCAGTAGTGGCTGACTATGGAGCGGTGTTCTTGCATCACTTGAGCCGACTTGGCGAGCAACACATTGGCCCAAGAAAGTGAAGTTGCTCCTTTCCACATGCTTTCGCCATGGGTGCAAGCAAGCAGGGCTTGTTGGGTGCAAATGTGCTGTTTCTTTGGTGGGCGTTGTAATTCTTGAAGAGTACCGGGATAGCCTTCACCAACCAATGTTTCGGAAGATGACAAACGTTTTCCTCGTGATGCGCCAGGACGGTGTGCGGTCTGGCCATCCTGTCCAGATGTGCCATGCGTTTTGAGATGACGACCGTAGTGAACGTCAACTGCGATGAAGAACAGCAGCGCTTTGCTTCTTCGCAATTGGCCTCTACTTCGGGGTGACGCATGCAGCCCGATGATTGCCTTTTACTGTCTGCCAAGAGTTGCCACCAAGTTCAACTGTCAAATCAGGCCTTTCCGCTGCTGGCTGCTTGGCAAAATCGCCTTGCCACGGCTACAGGGGAGACTCCGGGGAGACTTGACTTCATGCAGCTAAGAAGAGGACAATGACAGATTTTGACGCCCTCTTGAAAACCTTCCTTAGCTTTCGGGCAGTACACGGATGTGGTGGCTGCCGTGCCGTGCGTTGTTCACTTCGTGGTCACTGCTTTTCGCCGTGGCTCCATGGTTCCATGCTGTGGCTCCATGGTTCCATGCGCTGAGTCTTTGTGTCGGAACCAAGGCAAATCGCATGGCTTGGCCCCATATGGTCTTTCGCAGGCGTCTTGAACTCGACGATCTGAGACCAAACATCTACCAGAATCGAAACCAGAGCCAAAACACAGCTCTGGAGAGTACTATTGACCAAAAACATCCAACCACTGCAAGTAACCCAGGTGAACAAGCCCCGGATTTGAACATAGGTTTTTAAGTTAATAGCCCCAAAAAGCACCGATAACACACCTACTTATGGGTGTTCAGTGTTCACCCTTTGTTCACCTCACCTGCTTCTTCATGCTTCTTCCACCGGACACAGGCCGATCACCAGCCTGTTCCGGGCTCGGCTGCTTGTTCATCAGGATCTCCACCTTGGAGCTCTTGCGGAGCTGTCGCAGCATCCGTCGCGGATCCCGCGCCCCGTTGACCTGTCAGGTCGGCGAAGGCACATCAAACGAGCTGGAAGACAGTGGAAGAACATGGAAGCACATCAACAGTCCAACATAATCCAACTGAACCAACAGTTCCGTGAAAGAGCACGTGCGTGTCGGATTGGATCATTGCTACAGGTATCATCAAATGCTTGGTGCATGGTTTCTACTTTTTTGGGGGGGGCGGTCCTGTTACATAGCCTCTAGCCGCACCGGCCCGGTGCTGTCGCCTCCAAAATGACGTGGCCCGCTTCGATCTTCTGCTCAGGATGCGCTGAGTTCCACTGCTCCACAGCGCGACTCTTCGAGGTGTCGAGGACCACTAAAGCCCGAAGCTGGCGCCGGGCCCAAGCAACGTGTGACCCGAGCGAGTGTGGAACACGGGGCGGGTGTCTAACGGGGGGACGGTGGGTTCAGTTGAACGCCAATGTGTTCTTCTTTATGTTTTTTAAAGTTGATTTTGTAGATGGGGACTCTACATGACTCTACTCAACAACCAAACTGTTGGAGGCAGGCGCCATGAACGAAGTCACGTTCCGGGATGTTCCGCTGATCATGTTGCAAGCGGGGGGGCCCGAGTTGGCTTCACACAAAGAAAGCTGCATGACATGTTACACTTAAGTCGATTAAGTATATAGCAATTATAGAATAGCTGGGCCGAAGAATTGCAGAAATTATATATTCTGGTAAAAAATAGCTAGCGGCACCAATGAAAAACCAAGCGGGCGAGCACAGCCCCTTCTAAGCTCTTGAACATCGCCGATCAGAAAAAAGGTTCATGTGTTGCTTTCATGACTCCAGGGTGGGTAGCTTAATGTAGGCTCTTGATTAATACAACCACTCATTGACAAGGATTTTCCAATTCAAATGGGGGGGTTATCAATCAAGAGTCCACATTATTCCAATCATCCAAACTCAAGACCGATTTAATAAGCTATGGACTTCAAGGATGTCAGCATGCCTCTAGGGCTCGTTTCCACACGACTCTACCCTTCAAAAAACCATGGCCTTAGGCCATGCCCCAGCCCGGCTGGACCGTTGTCTGGAGTACCCCCCCCTGAGGCTGACTAATCCTCTTGACTGTTTGCACAAAATGATAAAAACCTACAATGCCATGGGCCGGATCCACATCTCAGAAGGTACGACTGGACCTTCCAAACCTACATAAAGGTGTCTCCAATGACTCCAATCACCTCCTCAAAGGGCTACCGTTCATGGACCTGCATGAGATCTAAACCAAGGCTTGGTGCCCCCAGCCAGACAGGAACAAAACAACAATTGGCCCTGGTGCCGCGTACCACACTTGCCACCTACAAATATATGGAATACAAAATAGTTATTTTGGGATATTTTGGGGTGTCACTCTCTCTCTCTCTCTCTCCAAAAAGCACTTGAAATAATTGCAGTCCAAAGAACTTTGGGATGCCCTGACACGCTGATGCCATAGGGCTCGTGCTCGGTGCACTGAAGGAAGGCGCGATAGATGGTGTGAGGGAGCACTTTGGCACGTTGTCTCGGCCAAAGAGCTCGAAAAAAGCCCAGGGGCGACGCTTTTTCGCTACCCAGCTTGGGCATCTTGGCAAATCTTGAGCCAAATGCAAGGTGAGGAGTAAATCCCAGCGAATCTTGGAAATCATGTTCAAACTTCAAGACACACACACACACACACCAATCCAGCCCTAAAGCAGTTGTTCAGTCTACAGAGTCGTTCACTTGGACCGGGTCCATTTTGATCCTGCCAAAAATTCACCTTCCAGCCAAAAGCATTCACATGCACAGACTTTCTGTGCATTCCGATCAACAAACGGCGTTTCACCTCATGCATTCTGAAAAACACGACGATCGTTTCCTCAGTTTTGTGGTCAAGCAGCAAGGCGGGTGAGATTCAAAAAGCGCACCATCGTCTCCTTGGAAATTGGGTCCAGAACTTACCATATAGCAGTTGTGAACACAAAAGCAGCTAACTAAACATTCTCCCACGCCAGAAAATTCTAGAACGTGAGACAAACACAAGCACGTGAGGAATTCAACAAAAAAGACCATCATCAAAACACCTGAATGAAATTACTTCCAGGTCTCGTTCATCGTGATCGCCATCCGAGCTGCCTGCTCGGACACGTGGGAGGGACATAGAGCTGGAAATGTGGGAGTTTGTTGACATCTTTGCACAGACTGGTGCCTCCAAGACTATAGTGACCCATCTAGACACCACGTGGAACGGACGCCCCGAAGCCACCTCGCCACTTCGGAGTATCATTAGCACATGCAACGCCGCAAAAAAAGGCCACAAACGGTTTCATACTGCAACGCAAAAAAGCGGGACCTCAGAGTCCAAAGAAAAAGAAGCACTTCGCCCACCCTCCATCTACTCGCCCACCCATCGGGTCCACCTTCGCTTCTTCCTCGGGGGACCCCAAGTTGAGGCCCACCCGCACCATGGCGGCATCTTGGGGAGCTTGCATGATAGCAGACGAAGGACCCGGTCTGAGACCGTCCGAAAGGACGGGTGGAAGGGGAACACCGAAGGACAGCCGTAGTGACCACTCCGCTGATTCACACACTGATTCACAAGAGGAAAAGATATGAGCAAAGTCAATTGAAAGAGTGGCAGCATGTCGCAGCACTCATGAAGTTGCTTGATTGTAGACACTTTGTATCAACATGGTTGTTGTTGTTAACTTCAGGTTGCTTTCTTTCAGTGCTTGCCGCGGCCATTCAAAAAACACATGGTCCTCTATGTTTTTCCCTGCGCGGTCTCGAGCCTGCGGCTCGGGAAGGATGAACCACAAATACATTGACCATGCCAATCCACGTGAAGCATGTGACTATATTCTATTTTTTTAATATTGTAACGTTTCCGTATTATTTCATATTAATCAAACATTAGATATTATATAATAGTTATATAACACGCGTGAGCTTACCATTCTGAGCAGCAGCCCCCGGTTTAGTTGGCAAGTTCACTTTGTGCGTCCTCTCCCTCTCTCAGTGGGTTCGTGCATTTTTGGGATGCAACTGATTGCAACCATGAGGCACGCGAAGAGCAAACAAAAAAAACACGGGACCCGCAACGTGAGCCAGAACTTGGACCTTCCTCCCAAACAAAAGACCTCAGCACGCAGGTTTAAAACATGTCAAAACGTGTGAATCATTCCATACCCGTGGCACTACCACTTCCTTCCACCAGCAGCACAAATAATCTTTTTTGGATTCAGCTCTCTGGGTCAAAGGTCTTCCTCTGCCACCTGCGAGGGCGAAGCTTTTGGTCGCGATCTCGCTCCTGGAAAGGCCTTTCCGTTGGTTTGTCTCCGTATATAATCACTTGAACACACCCAAATCACTCAAAAGGACTCAAGTAAGGAGAATGGAAACTCACTGTATACAGAGTTTCCCCACAATTCCTCCTGTTGACAAAAGGCTCCACAATATTTAGGGTGCCTGTAGTCTCAGCTTGCCACTATGACTATGGAATACCCAGAAGATAATAGAAAATAGAGCTCGTCAAAGCACAAGTAGTGATGGACAAGAGCATTGATGGTTCACTTCCGTGATGGCATTCCTAAGTTCCAGGATTTTGCCTCTCAATCGAGGTGATTTCATATTTAAACACCGCTCAGGTCTTCGACTTCCCTGTCCTCCACGCCACGAGGCAGCGTCTTCTTTTCAGATCGGTCGTTGCTGGAGAGTCTTTCAAGTGCAACTTGGATGGACCTATCCTGTTCCAAGGACCTTGGATGGGTTGCTTTGCTATCCCAAAGGTCCGGATCCCATGAGATTCTCATGGGACAAGAATTGAGATCATTCTTAGCTGTTATTTTTTGTTTTTTGTTTTTAAATCTGGCGCCCTGGAAGAACTCTTTCAAGGCTCCAATCATCTCCGCAGACTTCGTCGTGGCCATGGAGAGCCACAGCGGCCGGAGGACGATCGAGAGTCATGTTTCCCTTGAAATCAAGCTGTACAGGTCGAGGGCAAAAAATCTATGGAAGCGTGGCGTTTTCATCCCCTGTAAAATTCACACGACAACCCAGGGGGTACCATTTTTTGCCTACAGATAGGGCACCCCAGGTTCAACCCAACCAACCCACTACAAAATCCAGCCCCCCGAGATAGAAACCTTAAGTCTATAATATTGGGTTGTGGGTTGGCCATAGTGAGCTCACAGAAATTTATCAGAAAAGTGCGCTCTCTATAAAATCAATCCCTCCAAGTTGCCACCGACAGTCCAACAAATGCAAGACCACATCCCGATGCATTTCCCGATGAGTTTCCCGATGAGTTTCCCGATGAGTATTCCGATGCGATTTCCGATGCGCTCACCTTTTCTATCCTTTTCCTGACAGAATCTGCAAATTGTCTATATAACCCATTTTGTAACCCATCTGACTCCTTTTCTAACCCATATTGAAACGAAACCAGAGTTGAACCGGCATGAACCGGCTATAACACGCTACAAGGCGACAGTGCTCCGCATTTTGCTGGAGCTTTCTCGCGACGTGTTCATCATTGTGGAGCAGCTAGCCCAATCATGGGCATACAAGACAGGGTGTATGATGAACATTAACCCTTCCCACCCTTCCAAGATCGAACCCTCCAGGGGCCCTGATTTTGTAGAGATTGAGTGGGAGGTGCGGGGAAGGTATGATAGGATTCATGGTCCTTGATAATATAGAGAAAGCTGGTGACAGAAATGGCCCAGGCTCCTGATTTTGTAGAGGATTTGGATTTTTTGATTGTATATAATATATTGTATTACTTATGGTATCTTATAGTATTCTATTGTTTGTATCGACTGCAGGCTAGGTGCATCGCGCCCAAATGCCCAAGGTTTTTGGAAAATCCAAACAGTTAAAGCATGTGGCCATATTCATGAATCAGCTTTCCCCACCACCTCCCACTCAATCTCTACAAAATCAGGGCCCCTGGAGGGTCCCATCTTGGAAGGGTGGGAAGGGTCCAAGTTTTT